TACTACTACTACTACTACTACTACTACTACTACTACTACTACTACTACTACTACTACTACTACTACTACTACTACTACTACTACTACTACTACTACGTCGTTACTGCTACTAGTCCTAGAAGTAGATTTCCCATTTTTGTAAAATTAAAAATTTGTATTTTACAGGCGTGACATGTTTTTCATACATGTAGCCTACTTAACTCTATCCGTACGCCCTGCGGTCATTTTGTACCCCCGGGTTGTATTCTTCACAGTTTAGAATACTTCTAGTACGAAGATCTCTTTGAAACTTTCAGTATTTCTAAATTTTAAAAAAGTTTGATAGACTGCTATGAAAAGCGTACGGATCGGATTAACGAGTAATTTTCCTCTTTGGACAGTGGTAGTACAGAGTTTCCCACGTCGTATGCACACGATAGTAAAACACGACGCAAGGATAGGGTTAAAGAAACATGTGTTCTATTCAATATAATAACCGCTGATGTCAATGCACTTTTTCATCCGATGGAGCCAGCTGTCAAACGCAGTACGCTTCGTTCAAAGTCCTCAAAGCAGCATTAAAATTTATTTTAAGCACAATTTCTTTCTCGTTTTCAAATCGCGGCCTTCTTAGTTTTTTCTTCGAATTTGAAGATAAAATGAAAATCGCAAGGAACAAAAGAAAGAACATTAAAAACAACTCCCCGAAACAATCATAATAAATGATGAAACATGGGTTTATTTGTGGGATTCAGAACTGAAAAGACATAAGGACCACCACGACCCCGGAAGGTTCGACGTAAGCTCGAATTTGAAAGTGATGCACAACATGGTTTTCGATCATAAAGGTGTGATTTTGACCTGGCCCGTTCCAGTTGGCGTAACAGTCAGTGCTGACTATTAGATGTATATGAAGGTTCTTCAATCAAAGCTGAGACCAGCACTCAGAAGAAAGCAACCGGGTCTACTTGAGCAAAGTTTTGTCTTCCATCATGACAAACCATCATGACAACTACAACCGCGCCTGCGCACACCGCTAGACACGTCAACGGCCTCCTGGATTCCTGACAGTGGGAAGTCACTGTTCCCTAGACTTAGCACCATGCGACTTTCATTTCTTCCCTAAAATCAACGAAGAACAAAAGGGGCAGTGAAATTGAAGACGAGGGAGGCAATTATTGTGCTCGAAACAAACCTTGCTCTAAGGACTCTGGCTGAAGTGGACATAGTAACCCTGTCGTCTTTAAAAAGAATACAGTATATTATGCAGTTTCCCCAATTTTACAGGATAGCCAAAAACTGAATATTGTTACCAAGAAAACAAACTCTTTGAAAACAACCCAAGTCAATATTTCTAAGAACACAATTTTGATAAGGAATCTAGCTTTCTCATTCTCTTTAAAGCAAATGTTGTTTAATTGGTTAAAACATTCAGTTTTTTTGGCTCTCCTGCAAAATTGCAAAAACTGCATATTCTGTATTTTTTAAAATGACGGTAGAATTGCGTTTATCCTCCAGCTACATCGAATGAAAAAGTGCATTGGCTGTTATGGTGAATAGAAAAAGAGTTTCTGTAAGTAAAGTAGGAAAGTGTATGAGTTTAACGTCTCTATCAACATTTTCAGGGGATTTAAGAGGCTGGACCTCCGAAATTAACGTGCGTCTCCAATAGGACCGAGCCAAATGAGTTGAGAGCTTTGAAAACTCCACAAAATGGCTCTGGCACAAAAATGCGCTGTCAGGGATTCGGATCACGGCCTCCCACTCCGTAGTCCAGCATGATACCAACTGAGCTAACGGAGCGCTCATGTTTGTGTAGATGTGTACAAAATTTAATATCCTTGAAATAGAATTTTTTTTTTTTTTTTTTTTTTTACAGAACAGGGAAACTTATGGGGTACAGGTAGACCTCGTTCTGCTACACCAACATTTATGGCACCATCACTAGTGTTATTACTCCTGCCGCTACGTTGATTTTACAGAGCCAGTTATAGCCTGCCGGAGGAGTTTTGTAATGGGGCTCGGCAAAGAGAAAAGAAAGAAAAGAGGGCCTGTCCGATCGTTCATGTGTCACAACGCGGTGGAATCAGGCGCTCGTTAGTTATTGGCAACATAATACAGTTGTTGGTATAGACTTACAGCTTGTTTATTTGTCTTGCTTTTCGTAAAGAGAAAAAATATCCATATATTTTATATCCTGAATAGAAATCGGGATACATTGTAATTGGGATTGAAGTGTTGCTTGAGTCAGGGGTAAGTCTAGCTAGAAAATGGCCGCCAAAGTTCGGTGACGTGACTTCCAAAGCTTGAGAGTTATTTGAAACTGCAAATTTACATTTCTATGTGCGTCCCATTAACGTTTTTCCTGTAATTCCATACAGGCGTGTGTTTTTAAATGGACATATAAGGTATTGAGAGACTAACAAATGCCCAACGAGCGGGAAAATGTTGATTTCTTTGATTTCATGATTTTGACATGTGCCTGATTTCACCACGATGCCACACCATTCATCAATGGTAAACTCTTAATAAAAATGATCACTTCTCTTTTGCTCTTCTCTCTCACACGCCACCTCCCATTCTCTCGTTTCTTACCTTTTAGGTCTTTCATTATATAATATCATTGCACCTTGGCTAAATAGCGTTTGCAATAGCAACGATTTATGGATTTAGCTCCCTTAAACAGTAGCTGTGTGTGATCTGTTTGTCTAAGTGAGTGTAAAGAAGCTGTTGTTGTCACTGTAGTGGCAAGGTAGTTTGCATTGGTAGTTTCAAGACACATTTACATCCCCTATAATGAAAATGTCATTTACGTTCACAACTTAAGAGAACCGCCCACGTTTTTTATTTATGAAATATTCTCTTTGAACTTTGCAGCTGTCGCCAATATCAAAATGTAATAATTCTCTCAGTTCTTTTCTCTGCTTTCCTCGTATTGTAGACACACACACACATCTTTTAAAACACCTGGTACCGACTTTAAACTTTATTGTTTGTGAGATACCAATTCATTGTATGTCAATTCTAAGTGAAGAGACAATGTGTGCTGTTCTTCTAAAGGCTATCCAATTGTCCGAATTCAAATAAGATTGAGCAATGAGGCGTTTTGAAAGATTCAGGACCAATAATGTGGAAACAAAACGCTTAGCATCGAATAGCAATAACTATTCATGACCAACGATGCTTAGACGGTTTAATACCAAACTTCAGTATTCATGCGTCGTGTAGGGATGTTTTCGAAGTACACGCGCCTTTCAGATGGGGAAAAGGAAAATGGCTACCACTGCGGTGCAGAGGGTTATAAACTTGATCTTGTTTTATTGAAGTGCGAAGTTCTAAATCATTGGGATCCGAACTATTTTTCTCGTCTTCTCTGTGACTATTCTTTCCAACAGGGTCTCCGGACGGGAGAACAAGCAAACGCTCTGCCTTCTCCTTGGTCCACACTGTGTCTAGAACCAACAGCAGCAACAAAATCGATAAAACAGCACCAATAACTTTAAATAAAACACAGGTCACTATCATGACTATGTCTGTATAGGAATTTAAGTTGCGTCAAGGCCCAAGACCACCAGAAGCCCCAACCCTCTGTGCATAATTATATAAATACACATAGCAATGAATGGTACCCATAATGCTTGAAGACGAAATGGAACAGTGTTTATCATCATAATACTTGTACTTATTATAGTACCTGTCAGGTCCATTATACTTATAGATCTAACATTTACCGTAAAAAGATTATTTTAACGGTTTTCCACAGTGAGGAATGGCCAGTCCCAAACCAAGAGAACAGTGAACGGGTTTGTACAGATCTGAATCTGATCATATTCTCTGCTACTGCTAGCATTCAGTTTGTTGTCATGTCTACGTTTTAAATCCTAGAGCCCTACATAGAAATTATATTAGAAGAGCATGTGCGTCAGAAATATCACATAGATCTAGTATACAATGTATTAGATAATTTATTGTTATCTGATGTGAAAATACTTGACCAGACACGAAATATTGACATCTAAATATGAGTAGGCACTATCTCAAGGCAAGCAGAAAGCAAGAACCAGAAATGCTTTTTAGAAAGAGGTCTAAGGTCTAAGCACACAACTCTAAATTATTAGATCTACAATTACTGCAATGAAGACTTTTGCCGCACATTGGCCACCACCCTCACACACACACACACACACACACACACACACACACACACACACACACACACACACACACACACACACACACACACACACACACACACACACGCGCGCGCGCGCTCGCACACACGCAAACGCATACTATTATTTATACAAGGTGCTCATTTGTGTAACTGGGTTTGAGGTGTGTTTGCTTATGTCAAAAGTTCAAATGTGAGTGAGTGTGTGTGTGTGTGTGTGTGTGTGTGTGTGTGTGTGTGTGTGTGTGTGTGTGTGTGTGCGTGTGTGTGTGTGTGTGTAAAGAGAGAGAGAGAAATATATATATATTATATATACATATATATATATATATATATATATATATATATATATATATATATACATGTATATATATATATATTAGATGTATATAAAGATAGATAAATAGATTGATAGAAAGATAGATAGATAGATAGATAGATAGATAGATAGATAGATAGATAGATGAAGAGAAAGAAAGAAAGAGAGAGAGAGAGAGAGAGAGAGAGAGAGAGAGAGAGAGAGAGAGAGAGAGAGAGAGAGAGAGAGAGAGAGAGAGAGAGAGAGAGAGAGAGAGAGAGAGGGAGAGAGAGAGTATTCAGAAGTATTCATACGTTTATGTGTTGGCCTACGTGTACGAGTGTTGTGTGTGTATGTGTGTGTGTATGTGTGCGTGTGTGTTTGCATGCGTGCATTTACGATGTCAATGTATTTGCAAGGAAGTATACAGAGGAAATGAGATGGGGGACGGATGATGGGAGCTGTAATAAAGTAGGAGGGAAGGAAGGGTCTGGAGGAAAGCAGGAGAAAGAGATTGTCTGAAAATACTAATAAAGAAGCTAGAATGCAGCATAGATCAACATGATTTTTAACTACAAACCCAGACAAATAAAACATAACAAGACCACTAAATTCAATTAGATTCTAGAACTGTTTTACGCCATGAAGACACTTGTGACCACGACATCCTAATTTAATCTATTTGTCTTCTGTTCTACATCGCCAGGGACCAAAAGTTAAAGATCAAACCACCGTGGCTCAGACTGCAGACCGAGACCGTTTGTCACCTAACCTGCCTGCTACCACCACCACCACATACCACACCTGGGTAGCGCCGAGTTCGGGCTGTAAGAAGACTCCGACTCCAACAGTCAGCCTTTTCCCTCCTAGATGTTCTCAAACGCCCGTGGGACGTGAGCCAGAACAAACAGAGCCAGTATTACCTCATAAGAACGCTTCCTTTCAAGACAAAAATTACTTTTCTGGGAACAATGACAGCTCATTAAGTAACAATGATAAAGAATCTCTTCCCAAAGACTCGATGGAGGGTCAAGACAGAACAATCTTGCATGACAAAAAGAAAACAGATGAGGCTAAGCAGAGTCAACTGCATCCCGCAATAAACGAGCGAAAGGACGAAGACCAAGGAGCTCAATCTCTGGGAAATTGTGTCTTTCAGAGCTGTGGTGATGCCTTTGTTAGTCCACGAAATGTAAGGGGAACAACCTTCACTGCAAAGATAGATCAAAAGGAGAACCGAGATCCAATGTACAAGGCCGAGGTCAGCAAATACGGACGAGTGTCGTGTAGCACCCAGACCACTCCGAAACTTCTCGTAGACGCTTCCTGCGGTACTTTGTTACCTTTCAAGAAAAGGGCAATCATGAAACATGCATCGCATAATACTGATATGGATGAAGCTTTTGTCTGTGGTGCCGGTGGTAAAAACTATAGCCTCAGATCACGGTCAAATAAACGGGACGACTAATAATAGTACGTGTACCGGTAATACATTTACTCTTTAGGGACGAAGACCTGAGTTTGAAGCCCGAGTGGGGAGGATTTCTATCGAGTATTCTGGTTTTTCTGCTGGAACGTTAGTCACTTAGCCCGGGTTTGCCGCACCAGGTAGAGTCGATTATAAATTACATGCACATGAACCCATTTTTTAAAGTGCGCCAGTCATTTAAGAAAAATCAGCTTTATTTATTGTTATCTTTTGTTTGTCTAATCTAATGTAGGCCTACCATTTTATATCATGCCATATGCCTCTAAAGCAAAGGTCTGTAGTTTGCTGCTTTTGTTTTGTTTTGGAAATGAATGCTATTCCTTGTGTTGCTTTTTTAAACTGTGCATTATAGGCCTACTAGTTAGTTTTAAAGGATAACGTTCAATGTTAGTATTGTTATTTACAACATGTATGTGTCTTATCCAGTGTACCTTCCTTTTAACTGTATTTTAATTAAGCATTGCTTTGAGAAGGAATAAAATCACTGTCACGTTTCTCTGAACTTTTATTTCTTTTGTCCAGACTTTGTAACTCTCACTTTGCACGGTCCCCATCAAATTTTTAAAATAAAAATAGACCTACATACATTATACAAAGTGGAAACCGGCTAGATTCATTTTAGTTTTTTCAATCCTGTTTCCCTAAACTTAGGCCTGGGATCGGAGAGAGGTTAACTCCTAAGATTCTGAGATGAAAAATTTTCTGAATCTGTCCTAAAAATGCTTTGCAGATGCTGCCGTGGGATGGCTGACGTATTATCTGCTACTTCACATGGTTTGGAGTCCTTTTTCATATAGTAGACGGAAATAATTAGAGGAATCGAAACACATAAGTGACTTCAACAAGTAAACCGAAACAAAAGGCAAACATAACAATGACTGAAAAGTTACAAATTAAGACCTCATTCATTAATCAAGTTTTGTTACGGTATCTAACTTCAATACGATTTGAAAAGGGGTTTCAACGTGAAATCATGAACAGGGGAAGGAATATTGAAAATTGATCCGCTAAATAATTCGCTACATAATTTCATGGTTACGTTTCTTTTTCTCAACACTTTCTGTAGTTTGACATGCATTCTAACGCACACACCCCTCTCTTTCCTTTTTATTTAACTGTCTACCTTCACTCACATCTTCATCCAGGCAAACCCACCAATTTTTGTAGGCCTATGTCTAAAATGCGAGATTAAATTGCTGAGGCAGTGACAGCCAATATTGGCAAGGCGGGGTGAAACAAACCTTTCTTTCATCAGTGCAAACCGCAGACTTTCCCTTGTGTTTGCAGGTTCAACCACAGTCAAGATACAGTGGGCCCCAGTATGACTTACACTTACAGTCTCGATTATAACATTATTTCATCAGGCTTATGAGAAATCCACGAGTCCAATATCTTATTATGTATAGTACCGGTAGTAAAAGTTTTTAATTTGTAGCATCTTAAACCATTCCAAGTTAAGTCAACCCAGGTGAGACTAAAATAAAAGGAAAAGAAAATAAAGGTGAGGAGAAAAACAACAACATATCACCGGAAAAGAAATTCTGAAATAACTGACAGGTTAATTCTAAATTACAATGTATGTAAAACTTGATCCCCGTCTATAACTGTTACTATAACAGGGTTCGGTTAGAGCATGGACATCACATAGAATATCAGATCAAAGAGAGAACTGAAGACAGGAAATAAGAGAAGAAGATGCTAAACGGAAAGAATGAGGGGATGCAACAAGTGTTTAGAAAGAAATGTAGGGGCCCTACCGTACTTGAACTATAAAGGCTCGTAAAAATTCTTTTTAGTTTTATAGTATACAGTACCGGTATTGACAGATTAAACACATTAAAAAAAATGAAACTTCTTTCATTATGACGTGGCAGTTAGAATTCTTGAAAAATAAAACGTAGCCTACGATAAAAATAAGAAGCTTGAGGGATGATCATACTTTACATAATCACAATATTGGGAATCATAATATAATGTATAGCCTAATGAACTCTTGAAGAGGTTTACAGCAACCACATATGCCCCCGGCGTTTTCTTTGAAGTCTCCGAACAAAGGACAAGCAAAAAATGCTGTTTCGACCGCCTCCCGACAGTTTGCCTACTACTTCTCCTTGTGGAGGAGCAACCTTTGCCGTCCACGATCAATACAGGCCAATACAGGACTGAATATTATATGGTGCATTGAACAGGACACCTATTTAGTGTTCGTGAGTGTGTAAAAAAAAATGAGGCTGGAATTGGAAGGGGAGGAGTGTCGTTGTTTTGCTTTAGATCTACGAGTGGAATCTTGTTTTTGTACTCTTCCCTGATACGGGCTAACAAACAAAAAATCTTTTACTCTCAACCTGACGACACGCCGGGAGATTTTCCGCAACTGACTTTAAAGAGAATAGATGGAAGAATTCTGCATATACGAGACAACTTGAAACATTAATTTTGTGAGTTACAAAAAAAAGGAAACTTCAGCTTTTTCCAAGAGGAGACGGTCTGGGGAAAGGAGTGTCAACAAGCGCAGCTGTGCTCAAAAGCAAATACATAACTAGAAGTAAAAACATCATCGCCACCCTTTAACTCGGTTACGTACATATTCTGATTTTGAATTTGAACCCATTCGGCTCTGAGTTGAACTATATAAGTGTAGGTTTAAGTTAAAGCAAAATTAGTTTAGTTTTAGTAGAGTTTTTGCGGCGCTCGCAACTGCATAAGGTCATATGAGCGCCAAGGGGTGGATGTCAACAGAGAAGTCCATACAGGGAATCAAGCTTACTCTGCTCACCCCACTAGCTTCAACAGTACAACGTCTGCCTCGACTATCAAAGCACCCCGGGAATAGCGGGTCGCAAGAGTGTGACAAACATATGAAAGAAGTAGAGGAAAATGACAAAAGTAACGATTAGGAAAGAAAAGGCAGCAGTTCATCGTTGCAGTTCAGGCATATCTATAAGCATGACATTTACAATTCTACTGAGCATAAGAACATGTTTATGTTCCCCCTTTGGGAATGGTCTAAAAACATTTCAGTCAGTAGCACCGCCCCCGGGGGTAATCAACATTAGAGGTTAGAGGTAATACCTTGGCAGCACAGTGTGAGCTGGATTTTTGTCTTCTTCCATTTCTTGTTCGAGTCCCACTTAGACAAAAACTAACTGCATGTGGTGTGTGATAAGGTTCAGAGTCTCGAAGTCGAAGTGAAACGTGAAATTTTGGGGAAATGTGCTTCAATTTATTGCTCCCGTCTGTTGTTACTTTGTTACAGTTTTTTTCAGCATAGTGTGTTGCCTTATATGGCAGTCTAAATGCATCCTTTCTTTCTGAAGACAAACTTACATCAATCCGTTTGTTTATTTGTAGTTTTTTCGGGGGGGGGGGGGGGGGGGGGGGCTGTTTCTTTTTTGGGGGTCGCATGCTATCTCGTCTTATTCAGCTTACAAAGAATATCACAGTGTCAAGCAGGGGCGAAGGCTGACTAGTTTGACAGGGTAATCAAAGTGAAACTGGACCAGATATGGCCTGAGGATATCACACAAGAACCTTGCTCGAGGCGGCTACTCAGAGTTGTGAATGAAAACAAATCCGGAATTCATTATTGTATGTTCAACCGCCAAAATAATCGGGGAAGTATCTCATTAAATATCAATTCCAATTAAAATTAAATTTAACTTTAGATGTGAATACACAAACACAAAGCAAAGAAGCAGAGATGTCAGTACTAGATCTAATTGTTATAGATCTACCAGGGAGTCTCTAACTCTTTGGTAGAACATGACAATTATCACTTTTTTAAATTTCACATTTGGCTGCTTTTTGTCTAGCCTTTCGCGGCCACGAGCCTGTGTCATAATCGAGGTCACGATCTGATTATAGGGCAGTAAAAAGTCGAGGAAAAATAAAAAACAAGCACTCGAAGCTGTCGAGAGATTATTAGGAGTTAGTTCCCCTCACATCTGTGAGGTAGACTCGACCAGTGTAATAGTTAGCTTACCTAATCAGTGCTTGAGACTGATTATAACTGTGGCCCGAAAGGGTGAACAGGGTATATGTGGCAATAAAACAGTTTTGACTGCCATGCACATGTTCCCTTCAATTCTGTTGGTAGACTCTTCCAGTCTCACTTTAAGCTTACTTAATCAAAGCTTGTGACTGCTTATGGAGTGGTCCAAGAGGGATGAACAGGCTATTTCTGTGGCAATGAAACCGTTTAGAATGTTAGGCATACTGTTCATTGTTGATTATGAACGTCTTTTTACATTTAATTTATGAAGTTTACGTTTATGGGTGAATTTGGCTGCGACAATGTTTCAAAATTAGAAAGGGAAGCAGTGATTATTTGATTATATAGACGCTTCGACTCTGGTGTCAACGTCTCTCTCTCTCCCCCCCCCCTCTCTCTCTCTCTCTCTCTCTCTCTCTCTCTCTCTCTCTCTCTCTCTCTCTCTCTCTCTCTCTCTCTCTCTCTCTCTCTCTCTCTATATATATATATATATATATATATATATCTTGACATCTTACAAGGAATATTACAACGCCAATGTATTTAATATTTTACTTTGGAAAATATGTTTCCTGTTTTCGTTGTATACATGTTAATTGTTTAGTTGTTATTAAAAAATACATTTTGGACTGATTTTTGTTCAAATGTGTTGATGTAAAATGGAATAAGATTATCGATTTAAGTCAGTCTTCTAGTTCATAACTTTATCAGCTATTTTGAACCAGATTTAAGCTTTAAATAAAATAAAAAGTCAGATGGACTTTGCTTCGTTTCTAAAAATTGGTTTTTGTAATATGAGGAGAACAAATTAATTCAAGGCCTTTAACTTTAAACATATATTCTCAAATTATCTAGCAAAATTGCACCTTCTCCACCCTCCCCAAAAGTTGTCATCTTAATTAATCATTCTTTTCTCCATACACTATTTTGTTTGCTTGCCTGTCTGTTTGTACATGTGTCTGTCTGTCTGTCTGTCTCTCTGTCTGCACATGTGTCTGTCTGTCTGTCTGTCTGTCTGTCTGTCTGTCTGTCTGTCTGTCTGTCTGTCTGTCTGTCTGTCTGTCTGTACATGTGTCTGTCTCGGTGTCTGTCTTGCACACGAATGTTTTACTACTCTGATCATATTTTTATTATGGATAATGACGCACGGCGCGTATCGATTCACATTTGATTCTGCAAAGGTTGCTAGTCTGTAAAATGACAGATAAGCTCCCAGCTCCCTTTTACAGAGATCCATAACTTCACATTTCTACGTCACTGCACTTGGCGTGTCAACGTTATCCCCGTGTTTCATTGAATCCGCTTTGCATCTGTTCACCCAAATGCCTTCAACTCCCCCCCCCTCCCCGCGCACACACCCACGCGCTTCCCTATCTCCTCCTTTTAAGCCACTTTCCCCATGAGTCCAAATACCCTTATATATCCAGTGCGCACTGCCAATCAGATTCGTTGGACTGAGTCCGGGCCCGTCAGATTTTCCGTCCTGGATGTGACAAAAACTACA